TAGTGAAATTCAATCCGGATAAAACCGAATCACTATTGAATCCGGATAAAACCGAATCACTATTGATAAGTAGAAAGACTACACCAGTAGATGTCGCTACAGTAAATTCTCACAAACATTTAGGAGTATGGGTGTCCGATAACTGTGCATGGAATCTTCACGATGACTACATATTAAAGAAAATATCACCAAGATTAGATGTACTTCGAAAACTAATAAACACAGGAATTCTCTCCAAACTATATATTTTGCTTTTATTAGACCTATACTAGAATATTCTGATTTGATTTGGGACAACATTCCTAACTATCTATTCCAAAACTTAGAAAATATTCAAATTGAAACTTCAAGAATAGTAACAGGTGCAACTAAACTGTCAAATATTAATCTATTCTATAAAGATGTGGGCTAGGAAAAACTGGTTCACCCGTTGTCAGTATAATATGACCGGGCGTAATGCTGTGCTGGGTGCCTTCGACATGGTATTTCAANACCATTCCTTGGATATATTTATCGAGTTTATCCGTGAAACTTGGTCATTTCTCGTGAGTATAGAATTTGGTTCGGTCGCAATTTAATGGTGTAATTGCGACTTTAAAGCGGTGTCAGTGGATAACTATGTGTCAGACAGTCGTAGTTATGGTTTCATTTTGTAAATAAATCAATTGTCTTCAATATTCAAACGAGGTATATCCAATATGGACAAAGATTTGTGATTGACACGAGCTGAAAGAGAAAAGGGGGTAACGGATTTTCGTCTGTCGTTATATCCCTTTGTATATATTAGTATAGGAGACCCCTATTTTTTTTATATTACAAGTAAAGCGATCCATGCCCCTGTGCATGGTTTCGTCCCAAAATACCAAGAAGATATTCTCCCTCGGCGTAACAACAGCATTCACGACTACAATACCGTGAAGGCAACAATTTTCGTTCTATCTTATGTCGTACTAGTATATACATGAAGTCTTTCCTGCCTTCCGTAAGTGATCTTGGGTACTCCTTGTCAGACTCAATAAAAGGTGACCCCTCCATGAACCCATCCCACAAAGTCCCATCTTTCTACTTTATCGGTAGTAGTCTGTGTGGAGTACAGTTCCCTAAAAGTTTACTTTTATCGAAGAAACCTTATTGATAGTTTTTTTGTGTTCGTGTATGGAAAACAAGGAGACAATCTAATTAAAATTATATCTTCACATCGCTCCCGTTTTCTGATATGTCGCGTTGAAGGTCGCCTGAACATGACCCTCTACGGGATGTTGTTAGATCTTCAACGCGACATATCAGGAAACGGGAGCAATGTGAAGATATAATTTTAATTAGATTGACAACGAGACAAATGAACATTTTTTCACAACTCCGTCCGTGAACGTGTCTTCACTGAGATAAATCGTCCAATTTCAAGTAAATTACTGCTGTTTGGCGATGATGAGTTGTCAGATGAAGAAAATGCATTAATTTTTCTCCTGTACTCAAAATTTCATTATCAGCTCTCGAAGATTTCAATGAGTTTTTCTTCTATTTCAATATATACCTGTCGTTTACACTGGCATTATCCATGTACCTAACTGTTTACAATCAATTAATACAGGGTTAATCTGAGCAATTATCTCTCCCCTCTTCCCTATCCTATCCTCCCCTATTTTCTGTTTTTTACTCATATACTCAACGCATTGCTACATATTTCGTTCTCAAATATAGTAGTCATAAAACATGTGGTCCTCTAATCTCATATGTATTTCTTCCACTGGAAATGGATCTACATAAGTTGTAAACTTGTTTCCAAATCAAGTTTCAACAATTGTATATTGCTTTACATAATACTGTAAAAGGAAAACAGTTTATATTAAACCGGTTGTTGTATTTCAGTATCGTTAGCCAAATCTACAGTTGTAAAAGGAAAACAGTTTATATTAAACCGGACGATTGTTTATCTCAATCGCGCGTCTTTTTATGTCGTTTATACGTCATGTACTTTTTTTTATATTACCAGACGTTGCATAAATTCTATGCCATTTGCACGACTTCAATATATTTTTATTCTCGATTGAAATATTCATGGAATAAGCTTTCAAACACACCTAACGTCAACACAGAACTCTTTTATAAACTGATGACAATGTTAGATAGAGTTTTCGTTGTACAATTTGTTTGGCGTTTCTCGCCATAAACACAACGACGGAAACATACCACGGGGAATAAACGTATACACTAATTATTAAAACACGAGATGTAAATATAGGTGATTTCATTATAGAACTGATTATATTTTCTCCCGCCCTGCACATGTTGTCTCCCGTTATAAAATTGAAAGAGCAGGGCCCGTATTCATTAAGTCGTTCTCGTACTCAAGTATGGATTCTGTGCTCAAATCTACTTGTGACTGGCTAAAAATTACGTTACACGGTCAACCAGTAAAGTTATAACATTCAAAACGGTCTTCGACCCTTAATCTCTAGAAATTTCTTACAGATCACCAACAAAATGTGATAATTTCATAGCATTGGCATTTTCGAGAAGATTTTCCATAAGAAATTGGGCTTGAGCACAAAATCTGAGTTAGAGCATGAGAACGGTTTCTTGAATACGGACGCAAGGCGAGAAAAAGCCAAAGAACTGGACAGTGTGTCGTGGAGGGCAAGATTACCAAACAGGAGATAAAAGTTCCGGAATCATAAATCAAGCAAGTTCCTAATTCATCATTGAAAGGGCAAAAAAACGTCGAATATGGATATGGTTCTACATATTAGTAATGGTCTGCGTTATTGAGAATAATAGAATATCGGCTTGAAAAGTGTAAGGAAGCACTCGTTAAAACATAGCATATCGATATAGAAAGCCAAACAATCGCTATCTAAGAAATTTACATCATTACTGGATTTTGAGTTATCTCTATTGAAATGTATTAACTATGCTCAAGATTTCTTACACGCTAAATACCATTGACTTAGTTGAATTTCAACATTTTATATTAATCAACCTTTTTCACACTTTCAAAGTAAGATGAGACTTACTTATATTTTTCTATTAATAGAGCAGTTAAACGATCGTATTACAAATTGTTGTATTTCTGTATCATTCGCTAAATCTAACCTAACAGTTTTTGTTTGTGTTTTTTTTTTTTTATAGTTTTGTTCATAAAATTGCTTTACTATATTAGAGAAATGCAAAAATTCAATCATCGATATTTACTATTTACTTCTTTTATTTCTATTCGACAACGTTTTCTGTGAACACATTCGTTTTCTTTTCTTTTCTTTTCTTTCTTTCAAAGTTGAGGTTCCTTTTCACATTGCATTTTTTCCCCGTCTGATAGTATAATTGTTCTTACAACGAGTTTATTGAAAAATGTACCCAAGACACATACATGGGATTGCACTTTAAAATTTTCTGTAATAGATACAGCATATTAAAAATTAACTGCACTGCGTCATACAGCCGTTTTATCACTCTATTCTACTAAGACTCTTTTATTATGCTAGGCGCCAATTATATTCTATCACAATTTTATCTGTATATCAATATAAATACAAAGTCGATTTTTGCTGCTTATCACTTTTAACCCATACACATGTACAAAACTGTAAAATCTGTTTCCACATCTATGTAACATGAATTATTGATATCGTTTCTTCAATACAACATTTAGCATTAATTCAAAAAATACTTAACATATTAAGTACTGCCATATCTAGCTTTCTGACCTGGAATCTGGGATTTTGTCCTCTAACACCTGTTGTGGGTACTTGTTTATACATCTGTATATCAAGTAGGTTTCTCTTCAGTGTACCTTCCCTATCTGCCCTATTGTAGACGGTTTAACAAATTGCTATTACTTCTGATTACCGTGGTATTTTAACATATCTAGGCCCATAAGATGTCATGATTAATCCATCTGGGAAAAAATGTTGACTGCACTGATATTTTCACGATAACATAGCCGACATCTTAGGTAGACTGCATCATATCAGGACAGGAACCTGTCAAAATCTGAAATTGCCCTTTGGGGTTTCAAATAAAGCCGATGAAGCATCTCGGTAGCTCACTTTCGTTCTCTGCACGCAATCGTTCTCTGCACGCAGTGAAAGTAAGCGTTACCGCGGGAATATTGAGGATGCCGGGGGAGGGGTGTGTATGTGTAGATGGTGGTTCCAAATGAGGATTTAAGGTAGAAAATTTATGGTTTTTAAGACTGTTGACGGACTGTCTTTATCTGTAGCCGCTTATACCTTCTTGGATTCTCCATTATATTGCTTCCTTGTCATATAACCTTGACTACTTGCTGAAATTCACATGCAGTCTTATGTTTCTCTCTTAAAGATGTAATTTATAAATAATCTTAACTCTATAACATAAATGTGACCTCTTGTTACGCACGTATACGTGTGCCGCGAGTGTAAAAATAAAACTTGGAAACTTAAAATCACTATTACGTATTTAATTACGTCTTAACGGAAAATTGGAAATCAGTGTGTAGTCTTTTAATGCAGGGGGCACAGAAGGAACCCCCTCAATGATGCATGAAGCTGTCTTCCCGTTAACAGTTTCACGAGCAATCCGACCGATACAACGTAACAGGCTTTTATCTGAATTTACAGGAGATTATCGTTAGTGATAGTATCATGTGTATATTCGCTTGTTGGGCTCTTCCCTATCACCAGCCATATGTTACATGATATTGATCCAAATGAGATATTTGCATCTTAGATACATTAGAAAAATGAGAAGTCATTAAAAAAAATATCGTATAAATTTGTTTGATAAAAAGAATGTATTAGCCCAAAACAAAACAATAGCATGCGCCATTTTTGCCGTTTACCATATAAACAGTAATAAGTGAGAACTTGAAACTAATGCCTTTGATTGTTGTTAATCAATAAAAATATGTTTGAATGAATGAATAGATTAGTGACAACAGAAAAAAACACCATGTTTGATTATTGTAAATATTTGTTTGCAATGCTTGAGTCAGTTACAAAGCCTACACCCTTAAGTAAACCTAGTTTGTAATCGTGAAGCTTCAAAGTATCGGACACGCAATCGTTTCATCGACTGTTAGAACAATACATTTTATATTTACTTAAAAGGTAGGACATGTTGCTTTCGGCGCCGAGGTTGCTGAAAGAAGCAAAAATGACGCCTTGGGTTACGGCATTTAAACGATCGCCAAAGAGTAGGAAGGTTCATATAGCCGATAAACGCTCTAGGACCCTATTGTTAAAAGCAGAGACATAGTGAGAGAGCTATTTAACAATTAAGAAATAAACATGCCGCGAGATGTTTATTCAACGCTTGGCAGTAAGAAACAGTCCGTGCGCTACGATGTATACTCCGACGAGGTTGTGACGTGACGTTATGTTTTAACCGCATATCACAACAAACACGGCTCGGGACTGGGGACGGTTAAACCTAGCTGTACACTGAATGTACTGGGGTAAAAACGGCGATATATCCATGGACATATGTCGCACACTAGAAAAAAGGTATTGATACATATGTAACTCTATTCACGACGCTTTTGTTCGAGAGGATTAAGGAATGTAGAAACATAACTGTAAAAGTTTGTATCTAGCTAGTGGGTAGCCAGGACGAGGAAAGCATGTGGAAGGTAAACGCTAGCTTCAGTGAATGTGTACAGACAAACTGTTAGAAAGCTTATTAAGCAAAACATGGGACACATTAACGAGCAGACTGTGAATGTCATTCAGGACAACGATCGCCTGTTTTCAAGATTAGTTTTTATCGCAGAGGAGGTTATTTTATTAATAATTTCAAAATGTTTCAAACAACAATTGGAAATGAAACTAGGAATTGTGAACTGTAGAATCTATAACGGACACTCTTAACGGTGCAAATTCCGAATAGTAGCACACTTGAGTGCTTATTCCGAACAGAAGAACTTTATTATGTCCATGTCCAACGTTGCAGACTCTAAAAGTAATTCCGAACGGTGAACAGCTAATCAGATTCCGAAGTGCTATTGGAATTATCATTATATGTTAATTTATTGGTGTGTCATTGTTGTTGGGTGGAAATGTGTAGATATGATAGCGAAGGTTATAAAATCATATTCTTATCAGTTGAACAGCAGCTGTCATGCTTCAGAATATATGTCAACATCTCGAAAATGCTAATACGATACAGAATGTAATAAAAAGACACAACGACACATAGACATGATACTGACTGTAAAAATCAGTTACTGAAAGAGAATGGCTTAATCTGACTTGGTAAAGAATTTATTGAACTATCCCTCACGGATTGGTTAAAAAAAACCAGAACAAAAATGGATTCTACGAACACAATAGATTCACAGGATGCAGACAACAAAGATGATACAGATAAAAGAAAAATCGTCGATGATGCATTGCATCCCGCGGAAGTGTCTAAATTTCAAACCGACGACTTAAAGTATAATCCGGAAAGCAAGATTGACCATAACACTTGCCCTCAAAAGAGGAAATGTACTTGTTACGTTCCCCGGCGTTATGTGACGTCATTTCTCACGGGGCTCGGGATGTTGCTTGTTTACGCCATGAGAACAAACATCGGACTTACAGCAATTACCCTACTGGACACAAGCTCACCGGCGAAGGTCGAGGACGCTGAAACTGTAAGTGATTATCTCGTGCATGAATATAAAAGAGGCGTTAATTATAATATTATCATAAACGCAGAACGTAAACATTGCCTCAAATATGACGGAGGCACATGTTCATCAGGCTACCAGTAAACACAGGAGCCAGACACGTGATTTAAACATGTATCAATATAATTATATACCTTAGGTCTGAATATCAAAGTATTGTGTATATATACCTTTCACAACACTCTCAAATAATTGAATAAGTCTATATGGTGAATGAAAACGTCCAGTTTGTAAAGATATCTATGTGATTGGGCAAAGTTTATAACAACATTTCAATGAGTCATTGACAATGTTTTCTGTGAAACTCCATTAGCACTTTCTGGTTCACTTATCAGAGTATATATATATATATATATATATATGTATGACCTTTTATACATCAGGGTGTCCTGGGTTGTTGACACGGCGTCCTCGATACATTTCAACGTAAATAACATATTCATCCCCACATCTACACACACTGCACACATACATACTAATGTTCTATCTATCCATGTATCCATTCGAATATCGAAGTATGAACATAAAAATCGAAGAACACTCGCCGAGGATTAATACAGTTGACACATCGTTTGGATTTTTTTTTAATATTATATTTTTGCATATATATTCATTCTGTTTGTTTGTTTGTTTTTGTTTTTCTATGTTTTATTTTTATCTGTTGATTATTACTATTTTTTACATCTTGTTTATTTCATTTTCTGAAACATTGTCGCCAAACCTCTTTATAATGCCAAAATTCCTCTCGACAAATGGTGGCAGTATAACGAGGTTTTACTGCACGAAAGACTTTAACAATTTTATGTCGGATGGAGTAAATAATTTACGCGCATGCTTTCATTATAATTGTGTATCTAGGGGATTTAAAACGATCGGCTGCTGTTTATTTTTTGCTCATTTCCTCATTTTTAAGAAGGATTTGTTTTTAAGCTGAAAATCATTGTTAAAGCTCGAACATGATAAAACAACCCATTGTGGAATCCTTATTTTTCGATATACTGCCAACTCTCATCAAGCCAAACTTTTGCTTGATAAATCATGTCAGTATAAAAAGGTTTTATCATAAAGAGCGCCTTTGATAGTATTGTCAGGTACCGAGGTATATGCAGATGGGCAGTCATTACGCCAAGTGAACTAAACATCGAGTCAACACAAACTTTTCATTTATTTTTGCGGAAAGGATGAAATTCATTGATAAAACTGTGTATTTGCAGATATTAAAAGGAAATGTGAAAGTTAAAAACACAAAAAATGTTTTCCATTTACAGTCCGAGTTAAAAGGGTTAAAGGTTAACAGTATAATAAAATCATATATCAATAATTATTTGAAATGTGTTTAATGTCACAACATAAGATATATATATTTATATATATATATGTAGGACACATTTTAATTCTCTGTAGAGAAGCTAAACATTATAACAAACGAGATATCAACATACTAGCAAATACATTATTTTATAAAACAAAAATAACCATGCTTGAAAAGGCATTTAAATATTACTAAGGTGCTGAAAGTACTAATATCAATATTATAATCAGGACGAAGTCACACACATTGAAGACTGCTAATGTTACACGAAGTACGTTGAATAACAACGGTTTAGCGCTAATTCATTGAGTACATATTATTCGTGGAACGTATCAATAAAATCTTTCAAGCGATCCACCGGGGTCAATGCACTTGATAGAAGACATAAGACATACACACGTGATTGTACTAATACAATCTTTCAAGCGATCCACCGGGGTTAATGCACTTGATAGAAGACATAAGACACACACACATGATTGTACTACAATCTTTCAAGCGATCCACAGGGGTTAATGCACTTACTGTGTGGCAAAACTGAATTACATTGTAACTAGCCCGAGTTTCCTCTGGCCCTGACACCAAGACTTAAGACATTTTGACTTATAGATGCCCGATGTGAAACAATAAATAACCCGGTTATCGATATATATGTGAGGTATGTGTTGTGTCATAGTAGACGTGTGTTGTCAGCACCTCAAATCTCCCCGATACCAAACGGTGTCGAAGAATTTCACGTTTCCATATTGCAGTGCGCTCTGGCCCCACACCGGACATCTAGCTGTCAAACTGTCTAAGTCTGGTCTGGGCCAGAAGAAACTCGGGCTACACTGGACCATACAGCTGTTTCTTCCTTTTAGGACTCATATCGGTGATGGTATGAGCGAAACATCCAAGTTGGTCTAAACTACTGTTAAGATAGAAGCGTAAAACCCCTTAATAATTAAGCATGTGATCACGAAACAGCTCAATGCTATATAACTTCAATGATATCTACGTACAGCGAAGACAGCAATTTAATGACAAGGATGGTTAATATCAGTTGAATCACTTGTTTAATAGTTATTGTTAAATAAATAAAGTTGACGTATATTGTGGGTTTTTAAGAACTGAAAACATTGTACATAATGATATTTGTTTCATAGTTAATGTAAAATGAATAAATTTTATATATTTATTTAGATTTTACATAATCAAATACGGAAACATCAGCTTCAAACAAAATACCATGTTATAAAAATCTGAAACCAACCTACATAATAAAATACTTTCACTTTAATGCTATATAACTTCAGTGATATTTACATACAGCAACGACAGAAATCAACACAAACAAATACTAAAACACCAGTCTCAAACAATAAACAGAGTTCTAAACGGTCCCAAAATGCAAATTTTGTGTACAAAAATGCAGACTACATGTACTTGTCTAGGCCCAGATTGCCGACACATGCTGAATGTCCATGTAATTCCTTAGTTCGCACTTAAAATGTCCTGTTTTGATGAAATTACTTTGTTTTAATGTTAACCTCTTGAATGTGAGCTGCAAAGCAACAGAGGAATGTAAAAAACAAAGTGAAAACAACAACAACAAAAACAACAACAACAACAACAACAACAAAAAACAATAACAACAACAAATCAGGCAGAAATACTAGTAAAGAGAAGGAAAAACAAGGTTTTGGAAAAATGCTCTTCATATAAATGACTTATTATAAAATGAAGAAAAATATGTTGGTTGGGTGACACTTCATATTCGGATTTTGAGTGAAATTTTATAAAGGTAAATGTGTTGGTTGGCATTGACGTCATATCGCGACCGGTTTCCTCAATCTCTTTACGTTGTATGATTGATTGAAGATAATTTGCAAATAGCTTATCACGTGCAAACAATATTACACGTTGTTTTATGTTTATAGTTTAGACGTTTTTGGGAAATTTTGCATGGAAAGATAAAGTCAATGAGAGTGTGAAAAACATATGTGAATATTTCATAAACATGCTTATATAGAAAAAGTGATTGAGAATCTTGGATTGCAACTATGGACCCATTGCCCGACAGTCACACGGTCTGGTGACGAATTCACATGCATGTCTGGTTAAATAAAGAAAAAGTGTGTCTTTGTCAACAAAAAATACTTGTACATCTATAGCTGTTACACTGTTATACATACACCGAACTCAATAGGAAGCATGCCACAGCTCATCTATTTATCTACAAAATCCCTTTACTTCTGACGATTATGATCCTTTTGTGTCTGTTTTGTTTCAGTGATCATTTATAAAAAGCCACAGGTGTTCGGTTTCAATCATATAAATTGCATACAGCCAACTGACACGGGCGCGTGTATGGTAATGCAAGCTATTTGCATGCAGCGAGTCCATCCTTTCATAAACCTCATTTGCATAGGCATTTGCGTATACATTGCGTCGCATCTATAAAATTTTGAATAAATAATTTTATCACATGATTAAAAGATTACATCCATAATATTGTCAAACTATGGAAAAGTTCAGAAACTCTTTGAATACTCCTTGAACATTCTATATCAGGTTTTGTTTATTTATTATAAGTCATCACCGAGAACACTCGCATTACTGGTTTTATTCCAATCGGGAACTGTCGACACTTTCCGTAAACGAGAAAATTCTTATTTTTTTCCTTTACGGAAAACGCCCTATCTAGCTAACATAAGCCACTCTAAAGCACTTTACAGTACATAGATATACAATTGTATACAGTCAATACGATTAGCATATATATTAATCAATACAATATTGAGGAATTCGCAGGAGCTGCCTTATCAGGCGCTAACTACTAGTCCTATGTCACCTGGCTAATATCTCCATATGTGTGTGCTGGAGATGTATTGTGTTCTGTTTGTTGTGGGACCGTGCTTCCAACGGGATCATTTATAGTGCCACCTCACTTGAATGCTACAGCACAGATACCGCAAAACCCACCTTTCAAAAAGGCATTCGGTTATATCTTGCTTTATATCCTGACAAAATACGTAAACTTGGATTAATTTTGGTTTATACCTTGGTGCATTGCCATTGTTTAGTACTAAATGGACAAAATGGTCATATGGTGCAGTAAATTATGTAACTTTGTTTGGCTCTCTGTGTCGTCTTGAGAGTTTTTCAAATAAGTTATTTCATCCTCAATTTACAAGTTCTAATATAAATGCCAATTGAATACACAGTGAATGCACGGAATATCCCATGCTAGGTAAATTGAATACAATTTTAATTTTATTTTGTGGCACTTTCATCATTTCAATATCGTATTTCAGATACGGGGTGCTGGAAACGCCTAGGTATTAAACTTCTTTTTGTAGTTACAAAATCGTTTCAAAATCTTTCAATTCTAACGTTTGTTTCTTTTATTTTTAAGCTGCCGACCTCGTTCTGGACTACCCGCAGTGTGGCGCTGCTGCACTCGTCTTTCTACCTGGGATATATTTTTACACACATACCCGCGGGGTACCTGACTGTCATATGGCCTTGCAACAGGTAATGAGTTCATAGAACTACCTCAAGGACAATTTGCTAATCATTTTCATGTGAGGAGTAATGTACTCAAAAGATAATAATTTGGACATGGTTCATTCAAAACAGGTTCATTTAGGTTGATTATATTCATATATAAGTGCGGAGTCGGGGTATCATTTATGATATATATCCATTGACATCACCTGGAAGACGGCTTGAAAATAAACAGAAAGAAATATACTATTTTATATATTTGACTGGTTTTATCGAAAGAAAATATTTCAAAACGAATCTACAGTTTGAAAGATTTCTATAAAATTTAGAGAACTAACGATAATATAAGGGAAGTTAACATTTTCCCTTTTTAACTTTGTCAAATAAAATGACATTGAAAGAACCCGTTTCAAAAAGGAAATAAGATTATCTAGACCTATGTATACAAAGCATCTATCTAGACTCTCTTAAGCTATTTAAAAATGCAAGGCATCTTAAACAACCAAAAGAGGGGAACACAACACACAGTCGACAACCGACGAATTTGTTTGATTTAATACCTACCCTTTTTGTTAGTTTCGATGTAGTGAATACCTTTTTGTAGCGCTCATTGAAGGTTTTATTTCTGTTCAAGAAATCTCTGAATCTCAAATCCAAAGATGAATATCTCCTGTTCCCTTTTTCGAACGTCGGAGAAAACACCCCGTTCGTTCCGAGTTTTTTTCTTAAATTTCCTCTTTCATAATCTGGTTGTTTATCAACTTTGCATGATAATTTTCATGATGAATGAGATAATCTTTCAAATTTTGGATGTATAAATTATCTTACACTGACGAATATTTTGTTGCCTGTGTTACATTATCTTTGTTGACGTCATTCTCTCTGAATAAAGATTACATATGTCATTCTTGTTCTATTGTTGACAATGATAAACTTACTTGTGCTGACAACATTTATACACCCAGTTTGGTGGTGTGGTATTTAATCAATATCCTTTCACAGCTGGTATTTTATTAATCCGAACAAAATGTGTTTTTTTTTTTTTAAATGGATGAAAAATGTGTTCATATGAATGCATGTAAATGTGGACGTGGGTGTGTATGAGGGGGGCGGGAGGACACATCCTAAGATTTGGAAAATCTGCAGAATCAAGAGCTTTCATTTACCCAATGTTAGGGGGATTTTGATGAGACAAAAATGAGCTGCTGTATCTTTATGCAGATACAGCATCAAAGGACCTATAAGAGTTTCGAAAAGAAACCTCATATTAGCTCGAAATGGATCTTATAAATGATGCCGTTTGAAGTACGGTCCCACTAAAACCATAACACAATACATATCCAGCACACACGTAGGCATACACACAAAGGGAGATATTAGCCAGGTGGCATAGGACTAGTAGTTAGCGCCTTATAAGGCAGCTCCTGAGAATTCCTCAAAATTGTTTTGATTTATGTATATGCTATTTTTAGTAATTGTATATATATGTACTGTAAAGCGTTTTAGAGTGACTTATTTAAGCTAGACAGGGCGCTATATCAAATGTTGTATAATATTATATTATTAAATAAATGACTATGTTCGAACCTAATATAAAACGCCTTATTAAAATGTCGGTGTATTTACCTTGTTGACAGCGACCCAGTTATTACTTTGTGGCCTACTTAAAAAGCATTAACCATACCACAATGCTTTGAGCCGGATAAGTATTGTCTACCTGAATATGAAACAGTGACATAACTATGACGCAGTGACCTACTTTCCGTTCCAGGATATATGGACTCTGTATCCTGATATCCGGGTTGCTCAACTTACTGTTGCCTTACACTATCGACCATGAATCTTACTGGGTGTCGTGCGCAATCCGATTCGTACAGGGCTTAAGCGAGGTAAGTTGTTTGGTAAGCTAGTTGTTGAAATAATAAATTAAAAAACAAAATATTGAATGCATTTCAACAGTGATGTTTCTTTGTTGACAGGGACTACTTTATCCGTCCTGTTACGGTATACTGCGTCATTGGTCTACGCCGGCTGAACGCGGAAGGATTGTCGCTGCTGTGTTAACAGGTTTGTTAAGGGAGTATGTTACCTTGACTTTGACCCGTGTTTCGTATACAAAACAGTTTCACATGGATATATGTAAACAAAATAGAAGGCATGCATATACATAAGAAAAAATGAAATCATTTATTCCGAAATTTTGGCTAGATTAAATAAATATCAAAGGAGTGATTTAGATCAAATACAGTTGAATTATATGTATATTTAAGATATGTCTTATTCGAAAACATTGCGTTGTGTAAAAATGCAGAAAAGAATGCGACAAGGTTCAAATACATGTGTTTTCATGACGTCACAGGTTCCTATGCAGCACCAATCTTAGGTTTTCCAGTGGCTGGGTTTCTCACACACTACATCGGATGGGAGTATGTGTTTTACGTAAGCGGTAAGTGTGTACCGACGAAAACGGCATGCCATGTGATAACAATCTACAAAGCCGAGATAATACGCTCAGTTTTCTTGACATATGTCGATTTTACCGTGAATCATTAAATGGAATGATAATTTGTATTTTGCTAAGTACTTTTATCAATAAAATGCCTTGTGTCGATTTGTTGAAACTAAAATACAAACTACGTTTTCTGATTAGATACCCGAATTCTAGTCAACGTAGTCTAGAATAAATTATGTCCATGGCTGGGTTGTGTAAAAAACACTTGATCTTGTCTTTTTCAACAAGGTGGCGCATGCGTGGTGTGGTATTTAATTTTTTTGGGCATTGTTTCGGAGAAGCCGTCACATGACCCCCAAATTAATGACGAGGAGCTGGACTATCTTACTACGTCACAGGGAGACAGCTCTTTAGATTATGAGGTATGAAACTTCAAATCCACTTATTTATAACTCCTTTATGAACGTTTAAGAGAAACCCCCTTCAAATCGGAACTAATTCTTCTGTGTCATATAATTGGTCTTCATATCTTTCAATATTTGTTTGAAACCACAACGACTTTAAGTATTTTTTTCCCTTTATGTTTATCTACATTATTAAATTCTTTCTGGTGTAAGACTGTCCGCATTGGTACATATTGGTACATAGACTCTGGTAAGTCAGTTACCAGAAATACTTTGACCGAATCGAACTCTCCGGGTTATGACATTTCAGTAAAATGGCGGTTTTCGTGTGAAAATAGACTGCTGCAAAATTTAGGTGGAAAAAATACAGCACAGTCTATCGTTGTGAAATTGATCTTCATATTGTATGTCTATGTGACTTTAAACATTTACATCAATTAAATGAACATCCTGAAATACTCTTTCGAATTATTTTTCAGAACATAAAAATACCATGGAAGGATATTTTGACTTCACCTCCTGTTATTGCCCTGTGTGCTTGTAACGTCGCCAGAAACTGGGTTTTTATACTGATACTCACAAACGAACCGTACTACTTGAACAACTTCGAGTTCACTGTAGCCGAGGTAAGAAAAATAGGCTCCCATGGCCTGCTATATCATACTGCATGATCATAAGAGGCGACTGATGCGCGCTCCTGAAGTGTCGCTAAGGGTGTGTGGTTTTCCTTTTAATCTATTCAGTGGATATTGAAAAGATAAAACTCGATGTGCTGTCCACAAACAACAAACTGATATGTCAAACAATAGTCCTAATTCTACTTTACACCGGATATACGTGCGTATACCTTAATCTGGAAAACGGGGGGTCCGGTTACAGAGACAGCGTCCGGATTCGGACGCCAGACACGAACATATTCTACTGTCATACTTTTATCAAACGATGCGCTATCTCTAGTTCTATGTTTCAAGAAATCCAATAGCTGCTTATCGACTTTATTATTATCTTGTACTGACAACTATCATGACTTGGGCGCTTACAAACTTGTAGAAAGACCTGCTACATCCCACTATAAGATCTATAACCCCACAAAAAACAGATCGTAAAAGGCGACGAATCAGGGGTTTGATAGTTAAGGCGCCCTGTAAAATCCTCTTTTTTTATCTGTGTCCTCCGTTTAGGGCGCACTGAAGACGCAAATTGCTCTATTTTTCCCGCAAGTCATTTTTGTTTCAGACATTGGGGGAAATTCTTTGCTTATTTTTCCAAAGGAAAGCAGTATTGAAGTTCAGGAAGAAAGAGAGAACCCCATGCTAACGTTAAATCATAAATAGAACAAAAAGTGATAGTTAAGTTATATTGCTGCTGACTGACGAATGTATTTTTATGTAAAATCACATGAAGAGTTGTCAACTTCCTGTTTATAGGGTGAGGACTGGTGTAAAAAATCGACTTCCTGTTTACCAGGTGGGGGTCAACAGGGTCAACAAGAAGTCATCTTCCCATATAGTCTCGTTCAACCAGACGCTTTGATCACTTATAATTCTCTATTCGGCGTAGCTTGCGCAGGCAACAAGAGTCTGGTTGAACGAGACTACTTACCATACAGAGACTCTCCCAGTAAACAGGAAGTCACACCCTTGGGTGGTCAACAAGAAGGGAAGATAACTTCCTGATTATTGGGGGAATCTCGATATGGGAATATGACTTCCTGTTTACTTTGAGAGTCTCGGTATGGGAAGATCGAGGTCGTGTTTACTAGGGGAGTCTCGATATGGGAATATGACTTCCTGTTTACTTTGAGAGTCTCGGTATGGGAAGATCGAGGTCTTGTTTACTAGGGGAGCCTCGATATGGGAATATGACTTCCTGTTTACTTCGAGAGTCTCGATATGGGAATATGACTTCCTGTTTACTTAGAGAGTCTCGGTATGGGAAGAAGACTTCTTGTTTACTTCGAGAGTCTAGGTATGGGAAGGTCGAGGTCTTGTTTACTAGGGGAGTCTCGATATGGGAATATGACTTCCTGTTTACTTCGAGAGTCTCGATATGGGAATATGACTTCCTGTTTACTTTGAGAGTCTCGGTATGGGAAGATCGAGGTCTTGTTTGCTAGGGGAGTCTCGCTGCGGGAAGATAACTTCCTGTTTTCTCGTAAAGTTGGTGGTTCTTAACATGAAAGCTTTATTATGACTTCTCACGAAATGTATTCACATAGCTGAGAGCTATTGCAGCTAATTGACCGTAAAGTAAATGGCTATTTCTTGTCACCTCACTCACTGTCCGGGCGATAACCTTAACTGACCATTTGTATATAAATAATCCCTTGTACAGAAGATGGTCAATTACTGACGTTTGTAATATATAACAGACCATTTGTATATTGAATAATCACTTGTCCAGGAGAGGGTTTACTGACCGTTTGTAAATAAACAACCTCTCGTCCAAATGGCGACCGTAAGAAATATTTGTAATTTACACAATTAGGATGCGTACGTTAAACGAATAACATCAATTAAAATTAAAGATAAAAGATAAAATGATGAAAAAACTTACTAGTTGTTACTGGTCAAAACGCCATCACGTTATATCTTCTTGGGCAGCATTTTCTTACATGAGATAGTGTCACTGACCGTAATGAAAGTGTTATAGCACCGGCCTTCTTTGGGAGTCTTTTCTGATAAATTCTTGCTTTGATGTCCTTTACATACATTTCACTAAAAAGAACGATCCATTTCTATCTGTTTACCAGCTAAGTGAATACTACTCCCGATTGCACGTTCACGACGTGCTTTCCCTGACTTACAAGTAAACGCACGCTCGACTCAGAATTATAAATACATACTCACTCACTCACTCACTCAAATTCGATTGTATATGTTCCAAATCTGTTTATCAAAACATCGTTTTCTTTAATAATCAGGAGAATTCAAAATCATACCAGATGTGATTTACTGATTTTTGTTCTGAATATTGCAATCGTTCATGTAGTTTCAGAGTTTGGTCACTGGGGTTGGCTCAACCACCAGCCCTCTCGCAAGTAGCATCTCAAAATAATATTATTTAATTGTTAAAACAACCATATATGGTTAATCACATCATGTATTGGCTCATTCAATTACTACCAGCGTATCAGATACGAGACAATAAATGTATTTTTTTAACATTTCCTGTCTTTTTCTTTTACAAAAGATTGTGTCTTAGAGTCTTTATGGGTCATCCAAGGTAAAGGCCTAAATTAATCGAATTCAATCGTGTTTTTTAACCCCCTGACTGACTACGGGTTATATGGCATACATGTATATTATTTAAGTCAAATTCGCAAAATGTGATATACGTGTAATGTCTGCATGTTACCTGAATAAATATTATTATTATTATCACAACAAAATGTCAGCAAAGGGGATTGCAAATGCGATGACTTAAACTTAGTTGTAGACCGGCAAAAGAAACACGCTCGTAATGTATTTTGTCTTTGTTTTGAGACTGTTGGTTAGCTTTTATTGGCTAGATGTGTGAAGTAAAAATATAATTGTAAGCTAACAAGCCTTTAACAAACAAGTATAACCCATAAAAATTACATTAAAGGCTATATGTTTCCTTACCTCGGCGTACACATTTATCAGACTCTTATCCAAAAGACTTCCTCTTAAAGAAACATGTAAAAAATGTATCTTATGATTTGAAACTTTGAAGAAGTACACAAACATTATGCATTTGAGAAGTACACAAAAAGTATGCATATTTATTTATTAATATAAGAAGGAATGTAAGGAAAGGGAGATAATTCTAACACAAATAACGCGTGTAACATGTAATATTCATTTTTAAATTTATCTTTGTCGCTTTAAAATCATGTAAAAAATATCGTTTTGAAAATTAAAAATAAATATGCACTATATAATTAAATCAGGAAATAAATAGATAAACAAACAAACATACATGAAGGAAATTAATGCATTCCAAACATTATACAAGCTTTAGAAAATCAATCTTCTTTGTCAACTTTTTTTTTTTTTTTTTTTTTTACAGAACGGTGTTTTATCATCTATACCTCATATCTTCAAAGTGCTAGCCTCCATTCTCGGTGGTTTTATCGCCGACTTTGTAATCGGACGGAGACTGCTAAACACAACGATTCTCCGTAAACTATTGACCGCTTTGGGTAGGTAACAATCGGTGACGTCATGCAAAATGTGTTTTTGAGAAATTGAAAAAAGTGATGAAAAACATTATCAAGTACAATGTATATAATAAAATAGATTGAGTCATGGCTTAAGGCATTCCCGCGGTGTGCTTATGTCGATTTGCCAATTATACATAATAAGAAATTAAAAAGTGTTGATAAGAGGAACCGATCAAAGACGGGATTTTTCTCATTGAGGTGTTTGTAACAAAAGGAATAATTTCAACTGGAAGGAAAGGAATATTTATGTCAATTCAGTTTTAAACAAAGGATCGCTTTTAGTTTTAAGCAAAGGTATACTTTCATGTAAATGAAGTTTCAAGTAAAATTATATTCTCAAAATCTAAATAAGATTCTGATGTGTTTACTGGCACGGCTCATTAAGCATAGCAAAAGGAAGTGATTGTCTTGAAACTGTTTCGAACTGAAAGCGGGAAATCATATTAGTGGGATCACGTACACGTCACGTGACATTGATTACATTAATTAAATACGGTTTCAGTCATTCTCAACTTTTAGTACAAGAACCAGCATAACATTTATGTAAATCTGTTTTTTAGGGTTCGGTGGTCAATCTGTTTGTTTCCTGGTGCTGACTTTCACTGTTGAACCCCTTTATGTGATGATTTTCCTGACCCTGGGGGTCGGGATGTTTGGACTGTCCGTCTCCGGTACGTACAACCAGATTCTCTGTTACAAATTTGTTTTGGGACTAAATCAATTGCGTATGCCCCGGGGTCTTGCGTACGTAAATTCAGGATCTCAAATACATCCAGAGATCCGAATAGATGCCGAGTATCGGGTATGGTCCTGTTACAGCTGTATCTATGACTATTCTTCGCCATTTCTGTTATTTTTTTTCTTTATTTTTTTTCTTATAAGTCAAGTCGGTTGCAAAAAAATCATGGCTCCTGTTTTATATAAGTATAACTTTATTTATCAAATACCTATGTAATCTTACAATAGTAATACAACAATTTTCTGTTGATGTTTTCTGTCGGTTTGTATCACAACCATACTAGCCGGAACTATTTTTTATGGGAATCCCCTTGTCTTGGCGAACTGAAAAGTTCCTGGAATTTGCAAAAAATATCAAAGTTTATAATCTCTTTGTATCGATCTCTACCAATTACGGAAGGAATGTGATTAAAGGAAGACCACACACTTGTGTTTTTCTAACGAATCAGAAAGCACGCATTTGTTGCGCGGACGTGTATACATGTATATTCACTCGTGCGCTTCGCGCACTCGTGAATATATTCGTCCGCGCAATAAACTCGTGCTTTCTGATTCGTTAGAAAAACACAAGTGTGTGGTCTTGTATATATATCTTTATCTGATTATCATAAATACCTCCAAGATTTCAAATTTGCTTTTTTTCTTATACAATTTACCTATTTACTTAACGTTTCTACAAATAACCAAAACAAAGTGAAGCGTGCAAGCTGCGTTGCCAGCATATTGGTGCTGCCGTTGCGGTAAGCAGGTGGGAAAAAAATCAAAATGAGGCGTGCTGGACACTATGTAAAGCGAGTAGCTGATGACTTCACAAAAATACGAAACAAACATAAAATAATATTTACATTAATAGCGAACGACACTGTATTATTTGATGCATCCAGGTTTTATATTGTGGAAACCTAACTATTAATAATTCTGATGCGAGTATAATATTAGATTAAATATTAAATCCTGTTGTATTATATTTTATATATTTTATTATATTATCAGGGTGGCAGATAAACCACTACGATCTAGCCACACGGTACGCTGGGGTTCTTGTTAGCATCACTTCCGCTTCCGGTGCTGTTGCCGCAGTCATCGTACCCATTGTGGCAGGAGAGCTTACTCTGAACAACGTAAGATAAAATTTGGTATATGAAGAAAGACAAAATTCCTCCGCGCTGTCGTTGGTATTCATCGAATAATAATTTTTATTTAATATGTACCTCTTTAAAAACAAAAATTTGAACTTCAAAAAAATTCTGAAACGATTAATTAGCCAACTGGATCCGAGACAGACCTCTTCTTATTGCATATTATGAACATTTCCGACCTTATTATAAAACTTTGAGAAATAATTATATAATATGTGCATCATATAGTTGCCTTGTTTTATATTTATAGGAGATGTCTGGCTGGAACACGCTATTCTACATCACCATTTCTATCGTCCTAACAGCTCTTGTGATCTTTCTTATATTTGGCACCGGTAAGAATACGTGTTATAGTGACAAACAGACATATATATATATATAAAGAAAAAATTTCAACAACGAGTCTTAAGTACTTTCATCTCTTCTAGGAGATTCTTCATACTGCTTATTTGAAGTATATGTTGTGACGTAATAAACTATGACGTCATATAATAGTTCGCTATAGCGACGTCCGCTATATACGTACCCGCCATAGCGATATCACAGCAATAGAAATACATAAATTATAGTTTTAAGGCAAAGAGTAGTATTTGTTTAGGATTTAGAATTACTAGTTATACTATTATTTACAACAATATAAATATTTATATATACATGCAGTCACTGCTGTATGTTCGTCACTCAATCTGTCTGTCTTCATGACCGACTGTAAAATATGACGATCCTATGACGGTGGTTTCGTATAGAATACCACTCTCTCTCCCCTATTTTTAAACTATTCACAACAGCTTGAAATGTGAATGTCAACAGTTTTCAACAGTTTTATTGTTTAATTTAAACGACCTTTATCGGAATTAACAACTTTTGAAATGGCGCCTGTGTCTTGCCGTGCATGGGTTTGACGGAAATTCAGCGATGTGATTACTGAAAATGTGTATCTTCAGTATCCACAAAGACGTCAAACATGTGATATTTACCACTATATACCTCTACCAAACTCAGATGACACGAGTGTTCTTTTATTTGGCATTTATAGTCAAAATGAATGCCAACTGGAAGATACAGAATTCCATGAAGCGCGCTGTGAATGCCAAATGAAAACAGTTCAATACCGATATTTTTTCTCATTTTAAAATAGTTTAACCTCATAGAAAATTAAACTCACTTATCAAAATTCAGCATTTTGGTCAATTAAGTGCTTGGTTCGTGTTGGTTTGTCTAATGAATATAACAGCAATCTTCAACAAAGGGACAGTGCTATCCAAAGTAACGTGGGAACAATGAACACGGACTACGTGGCATTCATAGCCGATATGACTGTCATATGAAGCCATGGAGTGGTATATATATATCAGTTTATAATTGAATGGCCAACGTGTTGACGTCATCGTTGTTATCATGGTATCATAATTGGGAAATTGGATCACTGACGACTGCCCCTACAACATGAATGTTGTCAATCAATTAGGCCATTCATTTATTAATCCATTCATTAGCACGTTGTTTTTATCCAATAATGTATATATGACCTTTATGTAAATAACCTCGCGCATGCAAACACCTCACAACAACTAAGTAATTGTAAACACGAAGAGGCATCTAAACAAGCTGTAAGTGTCGGACCTACAAGAAACCTACGATAAATTTGATGTATGAGTTTTTTTAGATTCAGTTGGCATTAACTTGAACAATATTCAATGATACGCAGAAGCCTAAATATCTGTATGTGGTCATTTTGGAGGAGCACGTGATTTGTACATTGGCGTGTGAGTAAATGATCTACGTGTATAATAATATGTCTGAACAATTGGTGTATTCTTTGTTTCAGGACAGGAACAGCGCTGGGCGCATCCACCTCCCGATATAGAACTTGTGCAGAAGCAGGATCCACTGGCACGAAAACCTTACAACATCCGGCTACAGCAGCGGCTCTCCGCCACACCGGAAGTGAAAAATAGTGTGGGGAATACTTATACGGAACATAGCAAACTTGTAAAACGGACAAGTGAAAATATACCACAAAAATATTAGTACTCAGAATTTTTTTACAATAAGAAAACTGTTATCAACCATTGGTATTGGAATGGCCGGTGTTTCAGTTGCTACTGCAAACATCGTCATCTCTAAGGGTCTACGGTTATTTGTTGCGGGATTCTGTTTTAACGCCGTTCCAGGCAATCGGGAATCGTCGGCACTTTCCGTAAACGAGAAATGTAGGAACTTTCTTGTTCACAGAAAGTTCTCGATTACCAGCCAGGTATTCTGAATTGCCTGTCGTTTTTTTCTAGGAACGAAGCCTAGCGGAGAGAAATGGCACTAAGGCAGGCAATCCAGTTTACCGAACCAGTCAGTGAAATTGGAAAACTACTCGGACTTTCCCGTCATTTTCCGTCATAGTCGGAAATATGTAGGGGGTGAATCCAACTGGGACAGGGTGGTTATTAGGGGAAATGTGATACAATTTTGTTGTTAAACTTTATATATATTCCATGTTATGTTGAAAATGTTAAAATTGAAAGGAAAGAAATAAAAGTCATTGTGTTTAATTGTACGTGTATTTAGTTTTACATGAGTGTCCGAACAATATTATTGAATTGAACGCAAAAACTGTCATAAACGGCTGTGCCGAAAAAGAAACCGACCGTATTTATAGATAACAAAAATACGTATCAATGGAATCCGATATAACGTTTTCAATAAATTTTAATGGAACTTTTAAACATTGACATAATAAAGTGACCAGCATATCAAACCGATGAAAATACTTCAAGTTGCCAATTGAAGCAACATTTTCATCTCCGGTCTGTTGCTATTAGGCTCACCGGATTTGGTTTTTATCCTATTTTCACTTTGAAAGAGATGTTACGCCTGATGGGAGGGAGAATTGGTTTAGACGGTTTGTACATTAATGACTGAATGGGGTCCTTAGTGGTCGCCGGTCTTTGTACAGAAACATTCTTGTTATGTGTAGGGATGGTGAAACTGAGTCCAAGGGAAGAAATGGGAAACGTGACCTGCTTGGTAAGTTCAGCATCCGTTCTATTTTTGTCTTTCTCTTGAGGAATATCCTTTTTCAAGAAACCACCACGGAGGGCCTTCCTTTTGTACACGGTAGCCATCTCGGGTGGAAGCGTCCCCGAGTTAAGAAGAAAGGGAGGTAACCGAGGCTGGCACTGATAATGAATTTCCCGCTGTTGGGGTTGCATGTATATCTGAAGTAAACGATCTGCATTGTTATCCGAATATTCCGAATCCGGGGTTTCTCGAAGACTTAATAGACAATTAGATGGGTTTGATGCCAGGGCAGATGACCCGGGAGGGGGCGGGGGAGGTGTTTTACGCTCCTGATTATTCTTCAGCATCAGATCAGCTTTTTTACAGATGCTCAGCAAATCGTGGCCAATGTTGTGTTTTCCCGGGGGACCCTCGCGTGTGTATTTGTCGTAGTGACTTTTTGGGCTGAATCCTGACGAAATAGTTCGATCAAAGTTGGTCTGTATGGGCTGGGCAGTCAGACGCTGTAGGTGACATATGATACAGTGACTGTTAGTGTTTCTATGCACGGTTCCGTGTCGCCATTTTATTGCCCGCCGAAGAAACTCGTCCCTTGTGTGAGAGCCGACTTTGGCGAAGTGACCACATAGTATATCGAAAAGAGCCTTCTCTGGCAGTTTCTGTGAGATATCGTCAATGAGTTTTATCTCTTCGGCTGTTGGCGTTTTGACATCGCGCGCAGACATGTTATAAACGTCCCTGTTAGAAGAACTCCCTCGTTTCCTTTGCGGTTGGACGCATAATTTGAATACTTCATTTTGAACCACAGATTTGGCTCTCTTTTTCCGAGTCCCGGCAGTTTTGGCGGTCTTTAGGTGTGTTTTTTTCTCTGTGATCCTTCGTGCGTGAAGGTCGTGACAAAGCTTGTTTTTACACGATACGCTTTTTGCATTTAACTTCCTTGCTCTTGATTTTAGTTCTCCGGTGGAAGTATCGCGACAGATGTCGGGATCCTTATCCGACTTCTGTATTTGTGATGTTCGGGGGGATATACCTTCCACCTGGAAATCGACCTTCTGCGTGAGAAAGAATGCCATTGGTTAATGAAGCATAACGCGATCTGTCGTAATCGAACTACATGGTGGTAACTGGGGCGCGGAACCTATGACGTCATAATGGTCCCTTTTCTATGACGTCACAATACTTTCGGGCATATTGTGTTCATCAAATCACCGTTCGTTACTTCCGGTCTATGTCACATGTGTATCAGTAGATTTCACAATAGTTTCGTCGTAACGTCAGGCAGCAAATGATGATGATGCGGCATCATAACGTTTCATAGGTTTCTGTCCAGAAAGGAATTCCTGGGTTTTCCCTACAAACAGCTCTCAAAAAGGCCCCAATAAAATAACAAAAACGTCATCGCCGTTCACTAGATGTTCCATGCAAAATAAATCCAAATCTTGTCAGAATTATTCATTAGTCTTTAAGAGATTTACCTATTCCCCTATTGAGCCTTTTGACGGCTGTGCGGTGTTAATGTTAATGTTAATGAAGCAGGAAAAAAATGTATAGAATTCCACCTGCAATACCACACGAGAGTTGTTTTTCATACGTACCCATCCCTGGAAAAGGGTCAGCGATTATTTTTAGTTTGATTCCAACTGTTTAATATCGATAATCACTAACATCCTGTAAGCATATCTAAGCATTAGTTACGTTCTAATAAAAATGTAACAATAGATAATTTATGGAAATCGAAGGGTGACAGACTGACTCAGGCTGTATCGTGTCAAGTAATGCTATCCACACAAGTGTCATTTTATTAGCAACTGTCCATCAGCAGGCACGGTAGTCTAGTGATAGGACACCGGGCTCGTGGGTTCGAGTAGTGTGGCAGGGTTCAATTGTACATAGGATTAAGGTCGCCTTCTAGCTTCGAGCTAGGGGGAATTTCCCTTTAGCTCAGTGGTAGAGCGTCGATTAGGAACCTGGAGATCGAGGGTTCGATCCCCGGTGGAAGCACACTATTCTCTTTCCTGTTACATGAGTATGTGGTTGGGCAGTGCTAGAATTGTTGAATAATGCGAAGGCCCTATAACCAAACATAATAATTTGTGAACCGCTTTGAGACGACCTACGAACTAAGTTGTGATAAAGCGGTATATAAGAACCTCCGATTATTATTATTACTATTATCAGTTTGTGCAGTTTCAGAACACAACCTTGTTAAGAGATTTTACAAATGAATCGTTACTTTTTTTCTATAACGTTTTTGGTAAGTCAATTTTGTGGTTCACTAGAGACTACAGAGATAACGGAGATTTGTTTGCTAAGAAAAAACAAGACACAACGTTGGGACTCATTTAAATAAATAAACCCATCCCTTTTTCCTCATCCCCTTTAGCGATCAGTTCCTCCATTTGTACACCATCACATAAGCATGTTCCCAGTTAATTTTAATGAAATTTCGTCTTGCGTTCGGAATAAGTCGTTCAAAGAAATAGTTGAAGGACGGACGACGGGCACCATGGTATGGCATCGGCTCACCTTCGAACCAGATCAGCTTAAAACCATCCCCCGAAAAAGCCTGACAATTACACATTGCTGTCAGTTTATTTCGTGTTAAGACAAACTTACAGTGTGGAAAACAAAACAAACTCTACAAGTAGTTTTATCAATATTATTCCATTTTATTGTGCATGATCAAAAAAAAAAAAAAACATTCAAAATTAGATAAACGTGCCATGAGTAGTAATGGTTATGTGGCTGGCTATATAGACGAACGGGTATATAGAAACACTGATCGAGGCCGAGTCGAACACAATGTTAATACATTGTAAAGACCACATCACTTAGAACTGGACAATACTCGGTAAGCTGTACTAGTGAATTTATAATATAATCGGAGACTAAATGCAAAGAGAGAGAGAGAAAAAAAGAAGAAAAAAAGTTTCTCTCATAATGAGAGTTACCTCCCTTATACCACAATTTATTTTTACAGATATGACAGCTACTTTCAACAGGGACAGTATATATTATACGTCTCTGCTTTCAATAAGAGAAATGTGAACAATGTGAAAAACGTGTAATTGAATCACGTTACAATGTACATACACAATGAAGCCTTGTAATCCTGAAACATTTGTTTCAATAAAAAGTTCATTTAATTTCAACAAGATGTCACTGTTTCTTGAAATCTTTCTCTAAAGACAGGTTTCTAGATGACCATATTGTCCTGACAAACCCAGCCCTGGTCAATGATTAGTGACTATGAATGAACATACAACTCAGAGGCTAGACTAGAATTGTCTTCATTAATGTCCCTGTATACATAATTTCTCATCTACACCTCACATGTGTTTAATACAGTTCATAGGGCCTACATCATAATTTCAGTTTCTCATTCTTCAGTTTCTAAAGAGAAGCTTCAGGTATACCCTGGCACAAGCCTGGAAGAAACAAGCTTCAGGTACACAATGACACAATCCTCAGAGAAACCCAGACACAAGCTTCAAGTACACCCTGATAAAGCTTAGAAGAGACCTAGACACAAGCCTCAGGTACACCCTGATACATGCCTCAGGTACACCCTGACACAATCCTCAGGTACACCCTGATAAAGCTTTGGAGAGACCCAGACACAAGCCTCAGGTGCACCCTGATACAAGCTTTTGCAACACCCAGACTCAAGCGTTGTGTGTTCCTGTCCCTAGCTTGGGCACACCAAGACAAAAGTTGAACTGTAGGTCCATATTTTGTTGGATTAGCCTCTTGGTTGATGCAACGAGTCGCCAATAAACAAGAACCTAACATATGAATATAAAATGTACATTCAGTTTAATTTAACTCTGGTTAAAACTACACTCTTTCATAATTCATTATGATACTATTATATATAATAGTCAAAATATCAACAAAAATCAAGTTTAACCAAAATTAAAACATAATATTCGTTTTTTTCTTTATTAAAGTCACATAATTAACAAATTATTAACCAGTTCTCTTACAAAAACAGCGGGGCAATATGAGAACTCCAAGTAGAGATCAACTCAAGAATTCAACACACAATCCAGTATCTTCAAAACATGTAAGCAATGCCTTCACTGTTACTCTACAAAAATGTCCCCAACATATCAAATGAGAGATCTAATTAATCTAGATCATAACAATAGAAGGCTTTTAACTCTTTCATTTCATTAGATATTGAGCTGTGTAATAATTAATCTTATTAACAATGGCAATGAGGAGGAAAAAGCTGAAAATGTGAAGAAAAAAAATTCCATGTATAAATCTTAACCGAGATCCCTAAATTTCATCCCTCCAGTATTTATAGTCAATATCCCGATTCACCCTTCCTTTTACAAAACACAGACTGTCTATTTGTAATGCTTGCACTAACACTTTCTGTCTGTGATATGTGGTAATTTGAGGTGGAAACATTATATCTGCAAGTAATGCCATCTTTTAATAACCCTGAATATTACATTAACACATCTCTCCACTTAAACAGTAAATAAAGCTATGCATTATACCACCGACTGTTTGTATACAGATGGCCCTACCAGTTATACTCAAGATCACAACTGTGTCAAGCTTGTAAAAGACAATGATCGACGAGACCAAAGTTATAATCTTCAAGCACACCCTAGTACATGACTATGCTACATAAATATATACAAGTGCCTCTAGTCACAATCCTGAGCATTAAGCTTTCAGACTACCATGATGCATGTGTTCCGGCCAATGATCTTCAATGTCAAGCTTGCAGATGACCATGTTACCTGTATAGTCACCATACTGGTAATCAAGCTTTTAGATGACCATGATACATGTGTTCCGGCAAATGATCTTCAATGTCAAGCTTGTAGATGACCATGTTACCTGTACAGTCACCATACTGGTAATCAAGCTTGCTGATGACCTTGATGCATGTGCTCAAGGTCATAGGGTATGGGTGAAATTTCACATCACAATGTATAATTCTTACTGTTTAATTACGCACAGTATCTTTCAAAGCATGACAGACACCGCTAGCATACATTAAATTACATACATGTAATTCCTGGAGAATTCACGCTACGTTACAGATATAAAAAATTGTAGTTATAGATATACAAACTGTATCAAAACACAAACCATATTAGAGCAGTATCAAGTAAGAATAACAATGGTTCTAATGTACTCTGCCAAATAATAGTAACCATATATTGTGTGAAGCAGGTATAAAATGACCTCTACTGTAAAAGTCAGTATGAAACAATGTAGCATCCGCATGATAAAATTCACTGCATATGCTCCAATGGCACATTTACAAAAATTGAAATTCTTGAATAGAACAACTGAGGTTTGTTGCTCATTTAACTGTATTCCGATAGATGTGTGCAAGATCGATAAATTCACAACTGTCTCTCCTTGAGAATTAATGCGAATGTATAGTGTCTGTTTCATAAATCAGGCTTTGACAGGGTCCATAGAGCAAGACATCAGTGAGTGTGAGTAATGATAGTTTCTTAAGCTTAGGTCATTGTCTACAGAGTAAGTCGAGTGCGAGACGGTACCGACAGGATAAAAGTCATTTGTTAAGTGTTATGTTACGTATATGTACAGTATATGACTGTTACAGTAAAATGAATCGGCACTAGTCCAGTGTTAATCAAGTAAATTATAACACAAGTTTGTTACATTAAGATAAATCAGTATTAACTCATTCACCCCTAAAGTGTCATAATGAACTATTCCAACCTTTGAATTGGAAGAGTTCAAATGTGTCTTCGGGGGGGAAAAATGAGTTATAAGACTATGTCTTATACGATAAATCAGTTTTAAGACTGTGTCAGTGTCAGTAGTTTTATAACAAATGTTTTTTAAATGCCGATATCATATTAAGTCTGTATCAAACAGCATCAGTAGTAAACGTTGGTACAAGACATATTAAGATGGTATGAGACAATGTCAAGAAACAAGATGGTGTGACACAACATCAACATTAAAGCAGAGAAATTTTATGTAAAGTTGGAATAAGACAACGTCAGTACAAGGTAACATCGGTATAAGACATCAGTACAATATTATGTCCATATAAGACAATGACGGTATAACAGAATGTCAGTATAACACAACAATGTCAGTATAAGTCTATGTCGGTATAAGTCTATGTTGGTATAACACAATGTTGGTATAACACAATGTCGGTATAACACAATGTCGGTATAACACAATGTCGGTATAACACAATGTCTACACCATACCAGTTCAACTGTATAACAGATATGAGATGAGACAAGTTGAACACACACCAAGTTACTTCATCCACAACAAGCACAGACCACTACCTAACAAATGCCGTAAAAAAAGCTCTGATGACGCGAAGACGAAGACACGCAGTATAAAAGCTTAATTAGAAGGTGGTAATTGAAGGAGGAATGTACAATGGCAATGTGGAGCAGTTGACCTTTGACAAGTTTGGATAAAGTGATATAAACGTGGGCATACAATCCAACCCTATCGTGCTTAAACGTGGTGTTACATATGTTCCCCTTACACTCCCTGTAGGTTTAGATCTGATGCAAACTTGCTAAGGATTTTAATTCTCCCTGTAGGTTTAGATCTGATGCAAACTTGCTAAGGATTTTAATTCTTTACACCATCAGGGGAGAAATTGTCCTACCAGAATACTTACATCTGTTGATCTCTTAGTTGATAATCCATAAAAAAAAAAATCATATTCCATTTATAAAAACAAGCACACCAAAAATACACTAAGATATGAGATAGAAATGGTGGTGACTTTTTAACAGTGCTCTGTACAAAAAAGGAAATCACACACAATTCCGGGAAAGCTGTAAACTGACAATGTAATACAGGGAACTACAACACATTTTAAGCCACAAGGCTGTAAACTTAAAAAGATCGCCATTATGTACAACGAGGCTTGACTGTACACCCACTTTTAAAACAAAATGTCACCATTAACACTTCAATATACCGGCTACAATATACTAGCCCAGAGTTTCAGAAGTTCAGTCAACTTAATCTCCAGTTCATGAAAATTTTACGATTAAAATATTTTTCTCAAAATTGTTAACAGTTTTGACTTTATTCAGTGAATCATTTTCAGATGGTCATATTTTTTAAATTATGACTTTTTATTAAAGATCAAATATTTTTTTAATTATACATGTACTACATAGAATTTTGCTTTAATTATAAATTAGACTTTAAACAAAAATGCATGATTAGTTTAACGATAAATAAATGCAACTTTTTTACAAATAAACTTTTCAAAAATATTCAAATTAAAAATCCAAAACCAGCATGTACATTGTATAAAGATTTAATTCTGATCTCTGGAGCACAAGAGACAACTAAATCACAGAAATTTCTAAACAATATTATTTTGAAAAGTTGCTTTAACAACTCTTGACATAGGCTAAAAATATTTTAACTGGACCCTGCTGTGCAGACAATCAACCTCTGGCCCCACTTAATCAAGTTTCTTGATTTTTGAGATTATGAATGAAATATACAACAGATTTTCATGATTCTTGTATCACTTTACCGCCATTTCTGAGTCATCTTTTAAAATGTCAGGAAAAAGTTATTAAAAACTTAATATGAAAATATTATTTTTATGATACAAAAATCATATGCAATGTATATCTTTTATCCAAATATCAATTTCCTGCAACTTAAATACTATTAACATAGCATGCTTGTTTTCACCAGTCATAGATAAATAGTTTGCTTCAAAAACTTTTTTTTACTTTTGTCATTTAATGATTTTACAGGACGACTTGTTGTGTGTAATAAAATGAAGAAAGAATTTTGAAATATTTTCTTCACAATATCAAAAACTAAAACATTTGATTAAGTGAAACAGCCTGTAGCTATGTAGTTCACTACCAAAAACATGAAATCATTAAAAATCTTTAAGCATAATCATAATCCTACATTTATATGTATGTATTTATATTCTGTTCAGCCGTTTCTATAAGTCTACATATTTGTAAAGAAAAAAAAAAATCTGATAAAATAAGGACAATTATGAATGAATTTCATTGTTTCCTGTTTATGTCGTTGCTAAAAATAACTGCACCACCTAGTGGTCATAGTGAGAAAGAGGGGCAGATAACTGGTGTTGTACAGATATATATATATATCAGAGAAGATTCAATATAAAATTTGTGTCACTTTAGATGAGCGCACATAACCTCTTCTTCTTTCGTGGATGTTTGCCTTTTTTGTCTTTCTGCAAAGAGAAGAGAACAAAACACAATATATATAGTGACTGCAAGTATGAGATTATCTCCCCTTAGACCATATCATGCAAAGACTCCTCAAAGTGTCGATTGAGATTATCTCCCCTTAGACCATATCATACGAAGACTCCTCAAATTACACATGTAAAATATAATACACTGAGGATCATTCTCATAATATCAGATTTTTTTTTAAAAACAAACTTCAGGGAGTTGTAATAAAAAAAAATCCAGCAAATTTTCGAGATTGTTCTTTTAAGAAACTCCAAAAAAAGTGAAACTTGAGATTCGTTTTTTGTTAAATGAAGACAGGGTGTCCTCTAAATATACACTGCACATCTATAGTGGGTGATGCTTTAAACCTTTAAGTTTCATCAGGATATGTTTGATAGTCTTAAGAAACATTGCCCTTCGACTACAGTATCATGAAAGATAATTTTTTTTTACCTAGAGGCGAGATTCAAAGAGACAGTAGATTTTCGTATTTAACCTAAGGAAAAGGGTACCGTTGCAACAGTTATAATCATAAAGAAGAGTTCCAATTTTTTTTTGACTTGGAGTATTCTCCCTGCCAAGTTCTCCAGAGGTATAACTGTGGCAAATAGGTTTTTTTGGTGCTGTTCATTAATAATTCCTGGACAGCAACATTGGTAAAATGGAGGATTTGCAATGTACGTATATGTAAAGGTCCTGCATTCGTAAGGCCATAATAAATTAATTGCTAGATTCTCATCCAAATTCTTTTCAAAATTGGGGCGGGGGGGCAAATTTTATTTTTTATTTTTCCTAAAATTTCAAATGGTTCNTGGTTGCAAATGTGTTAAAATAGAGCAATAAAGGCGCATGTTCAGTGTACATTTATCTTTTTTTTTGTTATTAACAACTTTGAGTATGCAGTATACACATTGAACACCATTTCACTGTTCAGCCCACATATATATCTGTACTAACTTTTGGTGTGAATACACACCACATTACTTTTTCACATATCGTCCTCTTTTAATTACAGTGACATTGCCATTGACCAAACAGTTCTGGCATATAGGGTAGTTTTCCTCAGATGTAGCCACATTGTCATCTGTACCACAATGGAAGCATACTGCTTAGAAACCAGCAGAGAAATAGGCCAGTTCAACTGGCCCATCACATGTCAGATTTTTTCTTACAAACACTGATTTTAACACATTTTCTTGTTCAGTTTCTACATCAGCAAAATCAGAACCACACGTGTACGACAAATCGCCCAACATAGTTTGCAATTCCTTAGCTTTCTTTTCTTTTCTCTTACAACATGCTTGCAGTAGAGAACACGAGGCTTGTCACATTCAGAACAGTATATCACCATTTCAACATTTTAAGCAGTTTGGGTGGTGGGTGAGAATAGCATACCATGCCCAGGACCTGGCTTGTGTCCTAGTGTGGGCCTGTGCTTTTCACTAGTTTCGTGTCCATATAACTGATCGAAGGACTTGTACTTGTCACCAGTATCAGGTTCTGGGTCTGGCAGAAAGTGAAGACCTTCAAAATTATCTGCAGGTAAGTTTGGTCGTTTACAAAGAATGCAGGTTGTCTTCCCACACTTTTTGACACAGAACATATAATGCCTGATTTTGCAGTGTGAGGAAAGAAAAGAATGGAATTGTTTCCGTATTTGTACTGATAAATCCAACTTTCTGATCGTGTAACCAGTCGATTATATCATTGTACATTCTCAGTTTGTCATTTACGACGTTCCCATGCTTTGCCGGTAGAATGTGTTGCTTTAGAATGTAAATACGTCGGATTTCGCACTGGCAGTTGCCGACTGCTCTTCTGTATCAGCATCAATATTAAATTCTAAATAAGCTCCGAGGTACGACACCACTTCCCCCACCGTACATGCGCCATCACACTGGGTCAGTTCCACTTTCGATTTACCGGCCGACACAACGGCCCTGTTACCACACTTGACGGGCGCAGATTTGTCAATTGTTCCTTCGGCTAATTCATGAAAGACTTGTTCAGAAGCAAAATACTTGTTATAGTATCGGCTACTGAACACCCATACCAATTTTTAAGAACGGCGAGTTGCCGTTTCAGCTTTAGAATTACAAAAACCATACTTGCAGACGACGAGTTTTCTACAACCGGAAATTGATAATATAAAACTAATTTTTGAAGCGGAAAACGGAAAAAAAATCCGGATTTCGTATTTTCGGTTTTTTTTTTCGCAAATCAAAATAATTGGGGCGGGGCCTCAAAGAGGGGGCGGGCGGGGATGAGAATCTAGCAAATAATTTATTATGGCCTAACCAGCATATTTTTTTTCGTTTTCTTATTATTTCTCCAATTAAAATTTTGATTGAATATAATTCTGTAGAATGAATTGCAACATGTAATTTTCAATGTATTACTTCTTTAGAAAATGACCTTAACAAATATTTCACAATAGTGACAATAATAAGAATTTTGTCCAACTTGTCGGTATACCCTTTACGTTAATTCTATGTTTCAGCGAAAAGAAGGTGGGTACTTACATATAGCCTGATTTCGCGTACTAGGGAGTAGAATGCGTCGTCGACACCCTGCCGTGTCTTGGCAGAGGTGCGTACATAGGGGATGTTGTAAGTGTTAGCCAGCGCCTTGGCATCCTTGTCCTCCACCATGTGCTGTTCCTGTAGGTCCATTTTATTTCCCACCACTGCATTGAGAAATAGAATCTCCTAACTCTCAGTCTGGCATATACATTCCAAGTCATTTGTCTTGTAATATAACTAAACATTTCATTTGTCAATTAGAAAATTTAAATACCTGGATCAAAAAGCCAGTAAAACTGAGGAACAGCTGTTGAATGTTAATTTATCGTAGAGGTTTCTCATAACCCATCCTTCGTACCAAAGGGGTTACGCTCAATTACAATTAGTTTTTCTACACTAATGAAATATGTCTTGACAAAATCGAAGGCCCAGTGTGCACCACCTTTGTGGGTGAGACGAGAAGACTAGTTCGATCCTTTAGTGTACATCAGAAGAATCTTGTGGCTGCATAACGGTAAATTCAGCCTAGCAATTGGTCAGGATTTTTAAATAAGCCATGTGCCTTCAATTTTGCTATGACATATTCCATGGGGTGCAGAAAGCATAAGTGAGTGTAACCCCTGGAGTATCGAGGATGCTCATCCCCTTTATAGATGATATAAACAAAGTCAGTAATAAAACAATTTGGTAAATATACAGGCAAATCAAGATTTCAGTTTCTCTGTATATTTGAATTTCAAATGCTCTCATATCGTTATTTATTGAATTGACAGGGGTTTCATTTGTAACCCATAGCTGGTAAAAATTTCACCAGCTATTTCCATGAAAAACTAGAACACTGACAGGTCAGTAAGGGCCCCGTCTTGTGGCAATTATATCCCCCATAATCATCAAGAAGCAATCTGCCCATATATCTGAGCTTGACGTTTGTCATTTGGACTTCAAAAAGAATCGCAAGGAAGCAAAATATACATTTTACATGTACTATGATGTGATGGGTTTCCTTCCACCTCCATATTTGCTGGGCTAACAGAAATGTCATTACCGGTGCAATACTTATTTGTTAGCTTTGATTTGTTTAATTTCACCTTATATACCTTCTCCATCAAGAGCCAGGGTCAAAGTCAGAGATCCACTTTGTCTTTGACCTTTGGATCCAAATGACCTTGACCATTAACCCAGTAACCCTGATCTTTGGTCAGTTGACTTATACTTTAATTCCGACCAACTTTGCTTCTTAATATCATAACAAAATGTTCATCAGTAAAAAATACAAAACTTGACCTTGACCCTTTGGACCCAGTAACCTGGAACTAAGGTCAGTTGACTCTGTGTTAAGTTCTGAACAACATTGCTTCATAATGTCGTAACAAAATGTTCACTAATGAAAAGATACAAAATTTGACCTTGACCCTGACCCAATGACGTGTTCCTTTGGTCAGTTGACTCTTTGTTTAATTCTGATCAACTTTGCTCCACAATGTCATAACAAAATGTCCATCAGTGAAAATATGTAAAATTTGACCTTGACCTTTGAACCTAATGACCTTTGACCTTTGCTTTTTACCTCAATGTGTATTTTTATGAACTGAACATCTTGACCAAGTTTCATGTACATCGGTAAATAAATACTAAAGTTATCAGGCAGGAACAAAATTTGTGGACGGACAGACAGACAGACAGACAGTGATTACTATAGGGCACCCGTATCTCCGATACGGGGCCCTAATTAGAAAAATAGTAAGAAGGTTTTATGAGATATACTGAAATTAACTGCCTACTTGGTGTTGAATACACACGATTTGAAATCTTAAGGAAACCCCTGATTTGGCCTGTGGCAGCAATATGAAATTCATTGACAGACCCACTATTACAGTATAACGAATGATTTTACAGTAGACATAAATGTTAACAAGCCTTGGAGAATGAGATTTGAAATCTGATAAGTTTTACTTTATATAGATATACCATGTCTTGTTTTTGTACTTCTAGATTCACAATGTACAAGATACTTACAAACCATAGGTACTTCCTCAGCGTCTTTTACTCGCTTGATCTGTAAAGACAGGATAGAAAATTATTTTCCAATACTGAAGTACAAAATGTATGTATTTCTCTTTTTAAAATGTCTTAAAATGATCTCTCTTTGTGATAAATTGGTTTGCAATTATTTCAATTATTTTTAAGTAACCACTAAGGCCAAAACAATGCCTGAAAAAAAGAGAAGGTCAGTAGGCAAATAAATATTCTCCCCAGAAGCAATTTTAAAAGTTAGCAAATGCAAGCATGGTTCATTTATGGATGGTGACTTGAAACAGATATTTATATTCGGCCTAAGATCTTACCTGCTCTTTGTAGGTGTTGATATCTTCAAATGATTTGAGGTTGTTTACAGCGAACACACAGAGGAAGCCCTCACCTGTCCTCATGTACTGGTCTCTCATTGCACTGTGGTAACATAGAAATAGACGGTCATCATCTACGCTCACATAAACACCGACAGTCATCACGTACGCTCACATAGAAACAGACGGGCATCACGTACGCTCACATAGAAATAGACGGTCATCATCTACGCTCACATAAACACCGACAGTCATCACGTACGCTCACATAGAAACACACGGTCATCACGTACGCTCACATAGAAATATACGGTCATCACGTACGCTCACATAGAAACAGACGGGCATCACGTACGCTCACATAGAAATAGACGGTCATCATCTACGCTCACATAAACACTGACAGTTATCACGTACGCTCACATAGAAACAGATGGTCATCGCGTACGCTCACATAGAAATAGACGGTCATCATCTACGCTCACATAAACACCGACAGTCATCACGTACGCTCACATAGAAACAGACGGGCATCACGTACGCTCACATAGAAATAGACGGTCATCATCTACGCTCACATAAACACTGACAGTTATCACGCACGCTCACATAGAAACAGATGGTCATCACGTACGCTCACATAAACACCGACAGTCATCACGTACGCTCACATAGAAACCGACGGTCATCACGTACGCTCACATAGAAACAGACGGGCATCACGTACGCTCACATAGAAATAGACGGTCATCACGTACGCTCACATAAACACTGACGGTCATCGCGTACGCTCACATAGAAACAGACAGTCATCACGTACACTCATATAAACACAGACGGTCATCACATACGCTCACATAGAAACAGACAGTCATCACGTACGCTCACATAGACACAGACGGTCATCACGTACGCTCACATAAACACAGACGGTCATCACATACGCTCACATAGAAACAGACGTCATCACGTACGCTCACATAGAAACAGACAGTCATCACATACGCTCACATAGAAACAGACATCATCACATATGTTCACATAGAAACTGCAGAATATTGTTTTATCAAATATGTTTAAAGAATATATCAGATACTTGTATAGAGGATATAGATACATCAAGTAAGGTCTAGATCTAGGCCGCTTTCGTTTAACGGTGGACTTAAGACTGACCAAACAGTTCTGTGGTCACAAGACTCAAGACTGACCTGTACTCCTCTTGACCAGCAGTATCCAGAATGTCCAGCAGACATGTTTCGTCGTCAATCACGACCTGTTTCCTGTACGAGTCCTCTGAATAACAAAAATAAAAGTTTCAGGAATCAAATTTTTCAATTACATGTAGGATTGATAGAAAAAGTGCGACTATTTTTTCAGAACAGTGTACAGATTTATACTACCAAATTATGTTTGTATAATTGCCCTCAAAATTTTGAATTTTATTTGATAAAAGTTTATATATTTCATACATCACTTAGGTGTATTGCTGTCTGGAAATAATTATGTACAGTTTCAAGAAAACCAATGACTTACCTATGGTAGGATCATATTCTTCTACGAAGCTGAAAAGATACAAAAAAAGAGGAATTAAAGAAAGAACAATTATAATGACAACTGAACTGAATTAATTAATTACCTGATCAAAATTAATTCTGAAGGTATTAATAATGAACCCCATGCCTGCAGGGGAGCTTTAAACTTGGTTCAGTGGCTGGTAAATAACCTGTAAGAGTTTATTGATAACGTGAATAGACACACACAGGTGAGCAGCCAGGGTAATATAAACACCTCTAGCTCTCGATTGGTACGATTGGTACGTATTACGCATCATGCCAATTATCATGAATTATCAGGCCGCTCCAGTGGTCAACAGCATGGCTACAATCAACGCTGTGGTAACAGGTCAATAATTACATCACCGTGCATCACTGACACGGCATTGTGGTTTGCCCTATACACAGTAACCTCCCCTTGACTTCTGTTAGGATATAATTATACAACTGTAGCTGATTTTTACTTTCATTCAGAACACTGATGTTGAAAACATTCGTTTATTTCATATTTATCATTTCATAAACATTCTGCAAGGTATATGATTTTGCTGCAGAAATGATTTACCAAAGCTAAAGTTATGCCGTGAAAAAACAGTTTCCAACACGTAATTATAAAACAGTCTTTGGCTGTGGTACTGTTTCACCAGGAAACAATGGTTTCCTGAGTATCGAACTAGATGTTATATAATGCATCAGAAAACCGGTATATCGCAATACACAGGAATTTTGTATTAATTAACATCACAGTAAAATGAACAAGAGATCCCAGAGGGATCTTGGCATCCATCATTGTACCATATTAGTCAGTTAGATCTTTTCTCTTCTTTCCTCTATTCTGTTTGATCGAGTCATGTTAACAGTAAATGCACCTTGATCTGAGGTAACTTTTGATCTAAACTTAATACTGATGTGTATGAAAGCCAACCTTCAAAGTGAGTTTGTCATTTCACATATTTACTAGTACAGTACTTAATGTGAAAGAATTAGAATTGATCATTGCAATATGAGAAAGATCTGTTTAGTTCTTCCTTTAGCCATTTTGTGTTTATGATCAGTCTCAAAATATAACATGGAAAACGAGGGATCAAATGCAACCTACATATCAAATCTGAGAAAGATCCCTCAAGTTATTCCTGAGAAAAAATACTAACAAACCTTCAATGTCAAAAATCGAAGATGGCTGTCGGTAGGCAATTTTGTTTAACTAATCAGTTTCAAAAGTAAACATGAATAATAAAGGATAGTGGGGAACCTGCATTGGCTGGCCCAAAAACAAATTTTGGGGTGAGTAAAGAATTTTAAGCACTGGCCCAAATGACATATTGGTGGCCCAAATAATTTTGGCAAGAAATATTTCCACAGCATTTAACGCAATGCTTTAGCACATTTAAATTACATTTAACATGACAATGTTTGTTATATGTAAAACAGAATAAAACATTATATTTTTAATTCTTCAACCCTAGTTAAAACTATATTTTTAATTTTTCAACCCTAGTTAAAACCTGACATGATCCACTCTATTCAGGACTTCCCCCCCCCAAAAAATACACAAAACTAGCACCTCAAAGAAGACACCCTGGCAGTATTTATATAGAAAATCTGAAAAAGAAATCATCACATTTTCTAAATCACGGACAGTTCGATTCAAATCGAAGTAATGACAACTGAAAAATGTACTGCCCCCCAGTTAATGTGGAAGGGACTATAATTTCTTTTATTCATAAATTTTTCAACAGCCTGAACTATTTTTGTTGGGCTGCAGTGACTACTTCACTTTTGACAACTTTTGGTCGCCAGAGCAAGACTTAAATCGCCATTGGTAAGCAAGAGACCTTCAATTTCAGGCACTGCTGCACAACAAGGGAACAAGTGGAACCTACATATAAAATTTGAAAAAGATCCCTCCCGTACTTCCCAAGAAATAGCGATAACAAACTTTCATTATCAAAATCCAAGATGGCTGCATGTCGGCCATGTTGTTATCCGATCAGTCTCAAAAGTTGCCCTGCACAGCTAAGGACAAAGGGGAAACTACATATAAAATTTGAGAAAGGTCCCTATGGTACTTCTTGAGAAATACCGATAACAAGAATTGTTTAAGGATGGACGCCGGACAGACGGACGGACCACGGACGCTGGGTGATTTGATTAGCCCACCATCAAATGATGGTGGGCTGGGCTAAAAATATTGCAGTGTCAAAATAACAGATATGCTTGAATAACATGATCAGTTTAGGGGGGTCAGGTGGTGCAGTGAATAAATAACACATGCACTGGCCGGTTACCAAGGTGCCCGGGGTTCAATTCCCTTATCAGATGTGAAAAGGTTTATTGCATCACCTGCCCGACCATGTGGGTTTTCTCCAGGTACTCCAGTTTCCTCCCACATGAACATGCCTTGTGTTCTAACATCCACACCAACAGGAGTGATTCATATAAGTTGAAATAACTTGTTTCATAATCATATATATATATAACCTCAGCTTAAATTTCATAAATGATGTCGTTGCAAAACATGGTCAAGTTTAAAATCTCCCGACTTTTAAGCATATACATGCTGTGCATTTGTACAGTTTCATGTGTGTTTCTCGTGTTATCCAATACCTTTCCCGAGTTTAAATTGCTGTCTGGTTTACATAACTACCACTGGTGTCACATGTATCAGTACCCGATCTACTACATATAGCCATACTGTCACACGATCTCACAGTTAGGCCTGTATTAATATAATTATATCAGCCAGCTGTGTGGAAAGGTCACCAAGCTTACTTGGCTGATGAGGAAATCTATTTTGGTTCATTGTTCAATGATTATTCAATAAATGTTACATTGGACACACAAATACTACCCTGCACTGACCAGGGTGTAAGTTATAGCCAATGGTTGTAGGCTTATGGTTGGCTTTACAACCCTTTCTAAGACATGAGTATGAACATCTTTACGATAGTTATATTTACAAGAGATAATCGTAGATATATCATGAGAGATTGTCTAAAGAAATGAGCATGATAAATTTAGTTTCATGTGAAAGATTGTCTTTAGATTATCGCAAGAAATAATCTGAAGATATTACCATGAGAGATAGCTATATGTATATATAGTCATAGAGATTATATGTCATGTGAGATCAACATACAGATTATCATGAGAAATTGATATTATCATGACATTATATGGAGATTATGTCAAGAGATTATGACTTGACCTTGTCTTGAGAGATTATCTTGAGAGATTATCTTGGTATAATCACGAGAGGTTCCCATGCAAGATTATCTTTGGATTATCAAGAGAGATTATTACCACGAGACTTATCTTGAAATTACTGTTAAATAATATAACCTCCAGTCAGATCCAACAAAACTAAACAAATATTGTCAATCCTGTTCGAATAACACGAATCATGATCAGATATCAAATAATAACCACGAGAGATTATATTATCGTTAGAGATAACCAAGAGATATGTATGAGATGGATTGTCACCACATCTCATTGAATTGCTAAGACCAGCAGCACTGTATTTAACGACCGATAGACATCCACTATGCAAAGAGACACAAACGTTGACAGTCGCATTGAAAGGGTCTGCTAACACACTAGGAGAGCAGCTTCGTAAACACAAAGCCGTGACAGTGGGCGTTGTCACAGACATTACTGGTCACTTAGCGGTCAATTACGGTAATACATTGCTTGGTAATGTCCAATCATCACACTGGCTGCAGCTGACCAATCCCCTGGACATATATATGCTGAGCTAAAGCTTCTTAGCCCCCTGGTCAATATAACTGTATATCTATATATATAGTAGTAATTGGACGGTGCTGACCACCTCCAGCTCATTCCTCCTGAATTCCATATATCACCACTGTGCTGACCGTTAACCTTGATCGCTCATCAGGTTGTGTCACTAAAAAAAATCGCTTCTATCTAGTTGTGTCAACCTGGATGACATGGTTGGCTTATAATCAACATGTATAAAAATGTTTATGAAACATGCCATGATCTTTCAAGTCAAAAGTTTTACATAAAAAAAATGAAAATTATGTGAAGAAATATGAGTACCTTGTGTTTATATCATCCGACATTCTGAATTTCCAAAACAAAAATTTCAATTCAAAATCATGTTCATGAAAAAATTGCCTTGACCTATATGACGTTAAAATGGGAGATGGCGTCGTGAACTGTTGTTACTTAATATTATAATTTGGAGGTTGGGCAATGAAATCACGTCCAGGGTGTAAGTAACGGGTAACCAAAAATGTTTTCCAACTCCGGGATTCCTAGCTATAGCAGGTTTATCAAATAATTATACAAGTGGAGAGTGAGGAATCCTATAGTGGTTGAGACAGAAAAGTATTTACGTAACAAAACATGATGACCAGTAGAGGAATGAATCAACTCCCTATTTTAAAATCAAATCAAAGAAGTCTTGGGATCAAATCCCAATGGTTGAGGTGGCTTTTTTTTCTGGATAGTGAATACATTTATTTAGTGTATGTATAACTTTTTTCGTAAATGGACAAAGCAACTCCAAGTCTGAAGTTCGACATACAACAAAGAGCTTTCAGACTGTCTACCTAAATGTAAACCAGCATTTTCATATAACATGAACTGGGATCCTGGCTTTTGTACTTTATAATTACAAAGTGGCACATTTGTATCATTGCTATTATAACAAAATGATAGTTGGTAATGTCATGAAAAACCTGGCTGTATAAAAAAAACAAAGGTAAAAACATTGGTAGAAAGAAAGTGAAAGAGAAAAAGAACTCTAACGAGGCTACCGGTAAGAGAGAGTGATGGAAATAGAGAAGGATTCATGAAATGTAGAACAAATCATCTGAGTTATGTTGTGTAGGCGGGAGCTGGATGGGTGTGTTTGGATCAACAGGCATGATCTGTTAGGAGGGGGAGGATACAGAGTGAAGGGAAGGGTGTGTCCAACAAACTGCACTTTAATTTAATGATATTTGTGACAGAGTGAATCACGAAGACATGCATATAGT